ATTCCTGCTTGAATTGACATGGCCCCTTTAACAAGTGGACCTGAAAACACTAATTTGTTGATTTGACAAGTTTTGCTCTCTTGAAATTCTTGCTTGGAGTTTGCATTAGTTGAGAGCTTGGCACTATTCCTCACAGGTTTAACAAGCTTTGATGCTCCTTGGAGGTATAAAGTGTTATTGATGATTAATGATAAGGTAAGCTGCTTTTTTTAGGCATTATATTGATTTGATGTATGTTGGGGGGTTGCATTAAAATTAAATCTTATTAATTCCATCAGCTCCAATGTAGAAGTATCAAAGGAAGACTGCATGAACCAAACTCTCTGATGAAGATATGAGCGAAATGCCTGAGACTACCTGGGGTCTACGTTAGTAGTAATTCAGTTTAAAGATTGCCACACCCATGTGGACATATTGTGAAGCTCGAAACCTTGCTAAGCTCATTTCAGCATTTAGTGGATGTTCCAAAGCTTTTGAAAAATATTGATCCGACTCAAGATTTATATCTTTATTGATATCATTGTATAAAAAGGACCTTCGGTGACTGTGTAAATGCACACCCCTGTTTTGTTATTCATGAGCTTTCTATTTTGGATTGGTTTATGCTTTTGTATTTTGTTCACTGTGTTTGTATGAAACAATAGAAAATTGGTTATTAAAATATTTAAGAACATTTCATGACACAAACAAACAAAAAGAATATTTAGACTTGTTATTTGAATAATTGTTTTAAAAAGCATACAGCTTTTAGCTTAGGCTATTAGATTAGGTACTCAAGATGGCCAGAACAAGAGAGATCCAAGAAGATATCCTTTCTTTTTTTATACCTACAGCAGTATCTGCTATCTTAACAAAGTACTTCATGTTTGAATTACATTAAAGATATCTTTGTTATTCTATGACACCCTACTGCACCCAGCTTTCACAGTTAGTGTTTTGGCTGATCAGATTAAGTATATATTTGTTCAGGTCAGGCAATATCTTCTTTTCAGGATCTCTCCCCACCCACTGTGCCCAGATCCCTCCTCCGTACACAAAACTCACATTTCACATCCAGCTGCATGGTGCTTTTGGATATTTCCGACCAATTCCATTTTTTCAGGGAGCAGACGAGAGACTTCCCATGGTCCTCCAAGGTCATTTGCAAACTCACAACCGTTTGGATCGCTCCATTATTGATAGTTGTTCTTTGTGAAGACAAACGAGTCCCTCCTAAGCCACTGATAGTCAGTCTTAGTGGTTCTTCAGGGCAATGGTACGGTACAGAGCAGGTCACTCTGGTCCACCCTTCTTGGATATCTTTAGGACTGATGTCCATCTTAGGCTCTGGAGGTGACTCTACATTCAGGAAATAAATTGGGATATGTCCAAGTTATGGTCAGGGGGAAATCTCAAAAGATATCCTTGTGGAAATGTGTGGCTTCTTCTCCTGGATTCTGCATGGACACAGATGCTTCGGCCATATGCCTAAAAATCAGCAGCTAGACCCACAACATGCAGCCCCGACTCACATGCTTTCACATATGACACCTGTTAGGATAGGGATTTCAGAGGACACAGCGACCTGCTGCTAGGGTATGGAAAAATTGGCCCTCCACTGCCTCTGCTAGCATGAATGGCCACTGACAGTCCATGTGGCACATGACATGGGCTTCCTCTAATGCTCCAGGTGCTGCAGCATACAAGCTGCCTCCCATCCTCTCTCGTGCTCAGTGAGGAGCAAGTTTCCCAGCAGATGGAAAGAACCGTGGTTATCTGGTCCATTGCAAGATAAGTTACAGATGTGTTCCTGCCCAGAAATCTTTGCGGTGGGTCAGCTTGACCAGTCAGAACTCAGCGTGGAGGAAGACTCCTCAAGTGTCGCAGAGCCTGGGCCCAGCTCACAAGAAGCAGCTGAAGAAAGCCAGGAGCTCCAGGATTCAGAACTGACAGCTGAAGCTGACTCCTCCAGACAGACTATGGGAGGGGAGGATGAAGACCAGCTGTCAGCTATGCTGCCATGAGTGTGGTGTATGTTTCTAATTGCTGTGCATTCCTTCCCATGCGCTTAATGGCATCTTAGCTGTAACGTATATCTCTCAAGGCCACGGGAGGAGTTGGTGTGTCTAGAATCCGTGGGAAGCTTCCTACCTTCCCAGCTTCTGCAGGCGTTAGTTATCTGCCAAATGCCCGCTTGCGGGAGCCCATCTAATTGGGTACTACGTGGGGGGGGTGCATACGAATGCCCTATATCCTATTATGTGCATGGGTAACCCGCCATTCCTAACAGCGTTCATGTTACTGCATCTATAGCTTTTCAATAAAAGTAAAACCTTCCTGGAAGCGTGTACGTCGTTGTTTTGCTGTGGATCCTGACACCAGCTGGGGCAAGATGACTCCTCAGATTCCCCCTCATTAACAGACCAGTGCCAGGAGTGATCTCATCAGCAACTTACAGAGAGAAGGCGCAGTGCGTGTCTCTTGGCTTAACGCTGGCATTTGGCTAGCAGCACTCCTGAGTGATTGCAGGACCTTACCTTCCTTAACTCAGCTCGTCATGAAAGGCTTATTTAAACCAAGCTGGGACAACTTTCTAGCGGTGTAGCAATGAGTCATATATCTGTGAATCCAGCTACCACAACTTCTGCCTTGCTCCCTGTGGTTTTTGGACTGACCTTGGACTTTGCTATCTGCTCCATTGCAAGATAAGCTACCGATGTGTTCCTGTGTCCAGAACTCTCTTTTTTTTTTAATGGACTCATCTCTGTTATGGTATACAAATAATTTCTCAGAGACTTTTAAGGCAGTGTTGTATAGTGCCAGTGCAGGAAAATGGAAACAAACCTCATATTTGTATGACCCAACATGATATTTTGTGAAATGTTTTTTGCAGCAGATTCATAGGACTTTAAACCATATACAGAAAAATCTGGAACTAGACCTGAGAAAAGTTGCCCAGTAACGGCAGTGGGCAAAAGGGCACATTTTGCTATGTCTAGGTTGTGGGATAATGCACAGACGATACACATCTGGAAATTTGGAATTTTACATAACAGTTCCCATTGACATGTCAGTAATCATGTGTGTGTGTAGCCTTATGTATTGGCTGTTTCCAGCTCTCCCATTGGTTGTGCAATGTGCTCCATGAGCCCATCAACCGCCACTCAAGAATTCTCGCATGCCATTGGCCGGGTGCTGGGTCTGCTCCTCTTCCCTGCTCACTCCCACTTCAGCCACTGTTCCCTGTCAGAATAACTGGTAAATGGCTGGTTAACTGCTCGGCTCCTCTGTGGGATTAACTTTTCCCCCAGTGGCTGTTGGTAGGCAACCAACCTTGGTTCTGTCAGTAAAAAGACAAAGGAAGGAAACCCTTTCCAGGCCTTTGTGAGGAACTCAATGGGACCAGCCCTGACTAGGGTTGCCACCTCCAGGTTGGGAAATTCCTGGAAATTCTGTGTCTAAGGAAGCCAGAGTTTGGGGAGGGGAGAGGCCTCAGCTGAACAGAATGCCCTACAAACCACCATCCAAAGCAGTTATTTTCTCCAGGGGGAGAGAGAGATCTGTTGACTGGAGTTCAGTTGTGATACCTGGTGATCTTCAGGCTCCACCTGGAGGTTGGCTACTCTAGGTGTAGCAGTTAGTGCTTCAGAGCAGGGTCTGCCAGACCCAGGTCCTTGCCATGGAAGCTGACTAGGTGATTTTGGACCAGTCACAGATTTTCAGTGTAATCCCCTCCCCCACCTACTGCCAGCTTTGCCACTTTCCGGTCAGAATAAAATGTGAAAACCGCTCTCTCTCCTGCTTGGCTCCAACATGGCTGGCTGGCTAAAGAGGTGTGCCAGCAGCCATCAAACCATTCTCTTCAACCCCCTGCTGAAGAAGGGGGTATCCCCTAGGCTTGCCAATTTCCAGGTGGGACCTGGAGATCTCCTGCTGTTACAGTTGATCTCCAGATGACAGAGATCCGTTCCCCTGGAGAAAATGGCTGCTTTGGAGGGTAGATCGCATATGTTATGCCTCTGCTGGACAGCCAGCATGCATTGTGCCTTGCAGTAGTTTGCCCTAGTGCATACACTATCCTTCAGTGTCATCCTAAGATCCTTCTAAGTCCATCAAAGTGCATGGATTTAGGAGAATGTCTCTTTGCTATGGTCCTGGGAGTGGTCACATTCTGCCAGGGGGTGACCCACCAGCCTGGTGAGAGGGCTGCCAGCAGGGCTGGTTAAACAAAGTGTTGACCCTTCTTCAGGAGGCATCAACATGGGACCCAGGCATGGTGGAAGATGCCACTCTGGCGCCCACCCATGTTGACCCCTTGAGAGATTCCTCCATTGCTGGCAGTTCTTTCAAAATGATAGCTCCTGTTACAGTTGAGCTGATGCACCTACGAGGCAACCAATTCAGAAGAGGAGGAGCAGGTAGGAAGCCCAAAGGTGTTTTGCTGATGGTGGGAATGGAAAACAGATTGTTCTGAGGACAGGATGGAGGTTTGCAATTGCAGCCCTCCAGGACTCTCATATTTTTCAGTATGTTGGAGAAACAAGATTATTAGGTACTCTTAGCCTGCCCCTCCCCTCTTCACTAAGACATTGATAATAGCCACATACTTCCCATATTAGGCATGTCCCACCAATATACTGACAGCCTACTGCCTCCACAGATCTTAATATTTTGTATCCTGTACACCACGTGATAGGTATTGGTTCGGCTCTAAAAAAAGAAATCTGATATGATGAATTCTTTCACTCTTGGCCTTGACTATCACTGTATTGCATTGATCTCTCATTCATTTTCTGTTATCATACACTGTGCCCTCATATGGAATTGGTGTCAATGTTGTTCTTGGTTTTGTTACTCCTTCTGCTCTGAGTCGCAGCGCATGCACAATTTCTACAGGAAGGGCTTTTCTAAAAAAATTCCTATGCTATCTTTCCTGGGTTAATTTCTGCATGTTAGATTATGGCTAAAGGAGAAAGAGCAAAGGGGAGGAGAGACTATTGCTAAAGACACAAGAGCAGTAAAAGAAAAAAAGGTTCCAGTGTGAACCAGATTCCAGAGCCATACAATGGTGTAGCAAGGGGGGGGGGGTTGGAAAGATGCTACTGCAATCAGACAGATACCCTGTGAGTCAGCTGATCATTTGCCTTGTCCATGTTCTTGAACCCTAGCCTGTGCTACAGACTGTTGTCCATCTACCAATCATATCCTTCTGCTAATCAGCAGGGGTGCTCATAAGGGATGTGCCATTTTCCCATGCCAGGATTGGGAAAGTGTTTCTGTCTTAGCATCACTCCCCTAGCACACCGTCCAGAAGACGTCCCATTCACATCTCACAGTACTGATCCCCTGAAAAGATAACGTGTAATGGATGAAGAGGAAAGAGAAACATCTCTACTAAATTCTTACCAGCAACATTAACTGTAGCATTGAGAAACCACTTAGATCGCTGAACCGGCTGACTATACGAAGCAGAAAGTCTTGCCCCATAGATGCCGCTGTCCACCATCTGGACTTGAGAGATCTTCAAACTGCAGTCTTTCTTTTCTAAATCCCCTACAAACTCTAATGGACTTCCAGAAAAAGACCGCAGTCGGGTGATGTAGTGTCTTGATGTTGCAGAGCTGTCGTATAGTAAGTGGCCAGAGTACTCTGAATAGATCGTATCATAAAAAGGTTGGAAAAACCAAAGCAGGGAGATGTCTCTGAGAACAGCCCCGTTATAGTGACTGATCTGGCAGGGAATCACTACACAGGATCCTTTCCAGGTAACCAGAGAATCGGGGTTTATCTTCAATGGGTTCGGGTTGCAAAGGAAACCTGAAACGGAAGAAACACAGGGCAGAGTTTGGTCAGCTTCCCGTGTTCTCTTAGAACTAAATCTTACAGAAACCCTTAATCTCCATTGCCCTCTCTTCTAAAGGAAACCAAGCCCCCAAAATGTTACCTTCACTCCAATATCCAACTGTGATTTGCCTAATGAGATAGTTGGATAAATCCCTATATCCAGGACTCTAGGTGTGAACTGGATAATTTGAGGTTTCTTTTAGCAGAGGTGGATTTTAATATTACATTGTCAGTTGCCAGGTTCTTTTCTCAGTCGATTAAGATTAAAAATCATTAAACATTTAGATTATATAGACACATGTATTAAATAAATCCCCTTCTTTTTTTTAGTCATAGTGTGACACTGTTCAGAGCCGAATTGGCTGTAAGAGCAGTATCATTACAGTAAAGTAAAGATGCGCCATGAGAGGTTTTCCAAGCTGGAGGAGTTTCCCAAACAGTTTTTGCTTTGGTTTGAGTTGAAGTTGTCAGTGGCTCTGAAATAGTAAGTGGGACCTATTCCCCTCAAGCAGCTGTTCCGCCGCTCTTCAGTTTCCCCCGGTTGTATTGGTCAATTTCACACTATTTGCTGTGCAGCCGCATTTTGACCTGCATCTTCCCCTGATTTCCTCTGCATCTTCTCTATTTAAAAAAAACCAACCCAATTTTTTTAACATAACAGACAAGCAAAACATAAAATGAGGATATCTAAGTATTCTTAAATTTCTTTTTAACAAAAGTCATACCTAATTTAATTGTAATTTTATCCATTACACCTAATATCGTTGTATATATCTCTTGCAAATATGTAAATGTTATAGTTTATATGTCCTTGTAACTATTTATAAGTCTGTAAATTTTATTTGTTGTATCCTTCAAGCCATTTGTAAAATCTTGACCAAGTATTTTAAAAAAATTGTCTCTGGTTGTCCATTCAGAATTAATGTTAACTTATCCATTTCAGCAGTTTCCAACAATTTGCTTTAAATTTCTTCTCTCAAAGGTGTTTCTTTATTTCCCCAGTGTTTGGCATATAATATTCTTGCTGATGTTATTACATGTAAAATAAAATAAAAGTCATTTTTTTTACAATTTTCTGGTAAAATATTCAATAAAAATATTTCTGGTACAAAGGGTACATTATTTTAAACATTTTTTGTAATATTTCATTAATCCAACACCAATAGTTTTTTTTGCTTTATCACATAACCACCACATATGGTAAAAGGTCCCAGCATCATTTTGATATTTCCACCATACATTTGAAAGATTAGAATAAAACCTTTGCCACTTGCTCTGTGGTGATATACCATCAGTAAAACATTTTATAGATATTTTCCTTATATGAAATTTCTTTAGTAATCTTTACATTTTTTCCCCACACCTTTGACCACTGGTCAATATTATGGCCCAAGTTTTGTGCCCACCTTATCATAACATTTTTGACTACTTCATCTTGGGTCTTAATTTCTAACAATAGTGCATAGAATTTCTTAATCAATTTCTGATCAGAGTACATCAATATCTTATTGAATTCTGTTATTTTGTCATAAAAGCCTGTTGATTTGTCTTTGGTATATTTTGATTCAACTTGTGCTTTTTCCCACCATGTAAGATTTTCTATTGTCTTTAATTCATTTTTATTATCCAGTATATCTTCATATTTTAGCAGTGAATCCTCCTGGAATAAATTAGGGTTTGTGAAGGCTTCCAATGCGGCCACCCATTTTGGTATCTTGGCGTAAAGGTTGATTTTAATTTCTTCTCAAACCTTCAATAGGGAAGACCTAATAAGGTGTTGTTTAAAATATTTGTATTTGCCTTCTCATACCATACAAAGACGTGCCAACCTAGCAAAGGATTGTGACCTTCTAATTTCAATCATCTTGTATCTTCCAAAGTAATCCAGTATTTCAGCCATGTCAAGGCTGCTGCTCTGTAATATAAGAGCCAACCTGGTAGAGCAAATCCGGCTCTCTCTTTAGCATCTTGTAGTCCTTTAAGTTTAATTCTAGGTTTCTTATTCAGCCAAATAAATTGTATCGACAATTTGTCAAGTTCTTTAAAATATCTCTGATTTTGAAGGATAGGGATTGTTTGAAATAAAAAAAAAATCAATCTTGGCAATATACTCATTTTAATACTAGCGATTCTTCCCATAATGGATATTTGAAGATTTTTCCACTTTTCCAAATCTTTTTTTATTCCTTTTATGAGTTCCATATAGTTATTTTCAACCAAAGAGCTGTATCTACTTGATATATTTATTTCTAAGTATTTCACTCTCTTTTGAATCTCCAGGCATGCTAGTTCTTGCAGGTGGTGGGCTTGGGCTTTGGTCATAGTTTTAATAAGCATTTTTGTTTTGTTAGAGTTCATTTTAAGCCCTGCCACCATGCCATACTCTTGCAAAGAGTCTACAAGTTGTTTGATAGAATTCAGTGGCTTCTCTAGTATGAATACTAAATTGTCAGCAAAGGCTTGGAGTTTATATTCTTCTCCTCTTATTTGGAGTCCTTTAATTTGTACATCCACTCTGATTGTGTTATTTAAAACCTCAAGAACAAAAATAAACTACAATGGAGAAAGTGGGCAACCTTGTCTAGTTCCCTTTTGTATATCATTATTTTGTGATGGGTCACCACCATTAATTAAAACCTTGTGTTGTTTAGTGTAGATTGCTCTGATCATTGTATGAACATTGTTGCCAGACTCAGCTTCTAAAAGTAACTCCAGCATAAAATTCCACCTGACATTATTGAAGGCTTTTTCTGCATCTAAAAAAAATTAGAGCCATTTATTTTTCCGGGTATGCTTCAAAATATTCTATTACATTTAATTTCATTCTTACATTATTTCTGAGTTGTCTTTTAGGAAGAAAACCTGCTTGGTCTCTATGAATTGTTTGAGATAGGACTCATTTCATTCTTGCAGTCAAAATGGAGGCATAAATTTTGTAATCCACATTTAATAAAGAAATTGGCCTATAGTTCTTAACTTCTTTCTCATCTGAATTTTGTTTATGTATTAGTGTTATCAAAGCTTCATTCCAAGACTTTGGAGTTTTCCCTTCAATTATTATATTTTGGATAACTGTTTTTAATGGCAATATCAATTCATCTTCAAATAGATAACATTTCACAGGAAGTCCATCAAGACCTGGGGGTGGGGGTTGCCTTTTTTGTTTTTTCAGTGCTTCTGTCACTTCAACAAAATATATTGGCTCATTCAAAATTTTCCTTTGCTCTTCTTTGAATATTTTACTTTTGTGATTTTCCATATATTTTTAAATTTGATCTTGTGTTGGTTCTCTTCTCTGGTAGAGCTTTCCATAAAATAGTTCAACAATTTTTTTCAAACATTTGGGTTTGTTTGTTTTCTTTTTTCCTATCATCTCTAAGTATCCTTATATGTCTTTTCTCCTTTTCTTTACATAATTTATAGGCTAGCCATCTGGTTGGTTTCTTTGCATTTTCAAAATAATTTTGTTTGGCATACTTTATTTATTTATTTATTGCAATCCATTTGATGATGTAAAGTTTTAATTTGACTTTTATCTGTTCAGTTGAGGGATCTTGTTTCAACTTTTCTTCCTGTTTTTTAATCTGTTCTTGGATCTGATGAAATTTTTCTGAGCTTAACTTTTTTACTCAATCTTCAAAAAACAGAATCCAAAAGACGCAGGGGAAATCGGGGGGAGATGCAGGTCAAAATGCAGCCGTCCAGCAAATAGTGTGAAATTTACCAATACGACCGGGAGGGGGGGAATTGAAGAGCGACGGCAGCACAGCTGCTTGTGGGAAGTCGGTCTAAGTCATTTAGTAAGTAAGTCATTTCAGCTTATACAAGACTTGAATCTTTCTTGGAGTGCTTCTTTGGACACTAGCTTGTATCCATCTGTGACAGGCAGAGCTAAGAAAGGTGCCCCAGAAAACAAGGCAGCCAATGAAAGCAATGCTCTGAATCCAACAGGAGCTGTCCTGGGGGAGTTAGAAGTCCAAAAGGAGATGTAAGGAAAGATGGGGTTAAGAGTTAGGTCTTGAGACTTTGTTTCATAAGAGCGTTAACATTCGTTTCAAGTTGGGTGTTTGTTTGTTTTTCAAAATGAACATGCTTCTTGTTCACTTTTTTAAAGAAATCTTTTTGCCCTTTCACACTTTACCTCAGTGAGTGTTCTAAGTTTAAGAGGTTTTTTTGTTTTGTTTTTAATGTCACTCTTGGGTCCTGTCCCCTCAACCTCATCTTATATTTTTATATGTTTGATTTTCTGCTGAGACCCCCCAGAGAAGTGGGGGAGGTGGGAAATTAAAATGGTCACCAGGAGAATGAATCCAGTGTGGGGCGGTGGCTAGCCCCCCGGGATACCCTTCATAGCATCTTTTCTTTTTAATTTAATCTCTCACAGTTACTTCTTCTGTTATTCCCATTGGCCTGTAGGTGGGGCTGTGCAGTTGGCCAAGGAAGTTCCAACCACATACCATCTTGTCTGGAACCGTGACCTCAGGTGCATAATAACAAGACATGCCTGGCTAAGACAAGGAAGGTGCCATCAGGTCAACACTATCATCCCAGCCCTGTAGTGGAGCAGTTGTCATGGAAACAGCAACACAGACTGGCCATACAAAAAACCTAGATACCTTAAGTTTTTTTTGGGGGGGGGGATTCGTGTTCCCTTCTCCAGGCTATTTAGAGTTGGGCTAAGGCAACCAACCCTCCAGGTGAATCCTGAACTTCTCCCAGAATTAAAATATTTTCGGAATTCAGAAGGAACTGAGCAACCACCTCATCCCAACCCTACAGTGCTGTCATGGTCATAGCAACAAACAGGTCAAGCAAAAGCCCAGCATATCTCAGTAGGTTTGAGGGGCCTCATTAGCTCTGCTCAGCTTATGTAAATAATGGGCAAATCGCAATTGGAGTGGGAGAGTCCATGGGGGATAAAATGGGGAAAGGCTCCTCTCAATAACAAGAATGAGGAGGATACAGTTGCTAGCCAATCCCCTCCCCTCCCTATCTGAGGCTCACTAAGGCAGTCTCAAGAGACCCAGAACAGAACAAGGACTTAAAAGTTTAGATTTTGATTCCAGACCCTTCCCAGATCACTGGCATGTATAGCCTGAGGGAGTATACATTTGCTTGAGCATAACTCCTTTTACATCCTGCCAGGGAAAATTTCAGCTTGTTGCCCCATGAGACGTACACTACTGTCTTGTATCTTTCTTTCCTACTCTTCTCACAGACCAAAGAGAGACACATTCCACAGCACTGGCACAAATCATTACCTGTAAGGAAGAGCAGCCAAACCAAATTCTGCATGGTGAGCTCCAGAAGGGGCCAAACCTGAGGAAAGAGAAGTTGATTAGATCTGTCTCTCATTCTCCTTGTTTTTATCACTACCAAGAGCCTCACTAAATGGTCGGAGGGGCAAGGAATTGGGCTCATTAAAGTGAGCAACAACCTACCACTTGGTCCCTCTCACAGAGACCCAGACATTCTGACCACACCTATCGACCAGTCCAGGAAACCAGCCATTGTTACAAAATTTTCCCAGCCCCACGTGCCATTCACAGAAAGACCCATATGCCACGCCCCCCCCAGAACACCCTTCAAGTCCCCCTACCTGAGCGATGAGGGGACCTGGCAACCCCAGGAGTCATTTCCTGCAGGAGCGCACAGGAGCGGAGCTCCAGCATTAAAGAGCCCAGGGGGCGGGCACATGCAACAAGCCCTGCCCCCTGCTCCCAGCAGCCCTCAGTCGGAGCAAGAAGCAGCCAGGTAAGCTGCAGAGCCCCTCCCCAGATAGCAATCCAAAACAGTCCAGTGGCACCTTTAAGGCCAAGGTTTATTCAGGTACAAGCTCTCCCTCCTCTGCGTGGGCAGATCTGCGCGTCCCTCCCCCCAATAGCTAGCAATCCAAAACAGTCCAGTAGCGCCTGAGCGGTGGGTGTTGCCTTCTGACACACTTTCAGTGATGAGAGGGTGTATGGCATATGCAGATGAGTTATGCTAATAAGTTATGCTAATGAGCTCCTGCACCTCTTTTTCTATGAAATGACCCCTGGGCAACCCTATCTATCTATCTATCATCTGTCACTCCCCCCCCCAATCTATCTATCTATCTATCTATCTATCTATCTATCTATCTATCATCTGTCACTCCCCCCCCCCCGCCATACGTGGTATCCTAGAACAACATATATGATTTTCATGTCAATGAATCTTGTAACACTCCTGAGAGTTCAGTTCAGTTAAGAGAGGGCAGCTGGCCTATATGGCTGATGACACACGGTTCGAAGGTCCATCCCCAAGTCTGCCTCAGATCCCGTCAAGCAGATGGGTGTGAAGATTTCCCTAGTTTAAATTTCTCAGGCGCAACAGGGCTGGTTCCGATTGGGAACTGCTATTTGCCCCATTTCAGAAATCTATGGGTGCTGCTGGTAGGCTACACATAAGTTTCCTGTAATGTATTCAGATGCTGCCCTGAATGCATGTGGATGAAGTGTGAATCATCCCATAGAGAAGCTATGCTAAGCTTCAGACGTCGGCTAGGATTCGCGCCGAAAGTATTGTGTCCAATCACATTTGAACTGTCTGTGGTGGGAACGTTTGTGATTGGGCTATTATGCGAACAACCTGATAGGTTGGTACTTGTATAGTAGGTGTGGCTACATTAGCCCGGAATGTTTAAATACCGAGCAGCTGCAATGGGAAAGCTGTTCGGGCTACGAGGAGTTGTACCGTGTTAGAGAAGTTGATCGTCGAGCTGAATAAACCTGAGTTTTTGCTGAAATCACTCTCTGACTAATTTGTTAAGTGCGGACTTAACATTTCCCCACTGGAGCAAACAGCAGCTCCCTATGGAAGTTTCAACTTGGGAAAATGGCCGTGGGAGGGAAGGCTTAAGCCCTCTCTCCCTATTCATCATGGCCCCTGAACCAAATTGGCCCTCATTCATCAGAGGACCTAGGTTTCAACCAAGAATTCCTACCACGCATTAGCATAATAGGCTACACCCAAC